ACTTTACATCGGCAGGAGGGAGTTCTCTGTATCCTTATGTATGCCATGCCATCCCTCTGTGGCCCTCTGTGGCTCCCTCAGGCCGCTGAATGAAGTTCAATCTCCCAGCAGTTCGGCCCATATCAGTGTCTTGCTCCCACCACCACCTCCAGAAACCCACCATCACTCCCTCAGTGCTTGGGACCAGCCCCTGTGCTGGGCGACACTGGTCCAGGGTAACCCCTTCAATGTGTGCCTGGGTTGAGGGGGCCCCCAGGCTGCAGGGTGGAGGGTTTAGGAACAGCCAAGCCCCGTGGGACACATTCAGGGGTGAGGGAAGCTTGAGGAGTCAGGAGAGATGACTGCTGTTAGGCTGCCTGGGGAGCTTGCACAAGCTGTGATCCCAGAATTGGGTCTGGGGAGGTAGAGAAGGGGAGGGAAGGGTGTCCCCGGCAGAAGCCATGGGGGAGGCTGTGGGGTGAGGCACAGGACAGCTTGAGTGTCACTGGCTCACACACCAGTTCAGGAAGAAACTCCTGATACCACTTTGTGCCCCGACCCAGCCAGTGCCCCACGGCCCCTCTGCCTCCTCACAAAGTCCAGGAAAGGAAGGTTTTGTCAGCCTCACCCTCACAGGGGGAAGCGGAGGCCTGGGCCCTGGTGTGATTTAAGCAGCACAGTGAGGTTGTAGCTGGGTTTGTATCACCCCCACCGGAAGCCACCTGAGCCTTGGGACGGTTCTGGTCAACATTCAGTGTCATCGGTCACTGACAGGCTCAGCAGCAAAAGTGTCTTGTTCTCTTCCTTCTCTTTTCGTTCCCTTGCTCCCCTTCTCCCTCCTTTCCCTATCTCCTTTTTTTCCTCCTTTTCCTTCTCCCCTCTTCCTTCTTTCCTCCCCTCCTCCCTCTTCCTTCTGTCTCTCCCTCTCTCCTTTCCATTCATCCATCTCTCCAAACATGGTGTTTGGCTTCCTGCTCTCTGGACGCCCCACCCAGGCCCTTCACACACCTCCCGGCTCCTGTCTCAGGGCTGCCCGTGTGCCAGGCGCTCCAGCTGGTGCTGCCCTTGCATTGTCTCCAGACTGTGCGCGCCAGGGCACCGAGGTGCTGGAGACCCTCCCCACAACACACACTCCAGAATTGAGGAAGGGTCTGGCCTCATGCATGGTGGGATCCCAGTGCCCGGCCCAAGCACTCTGTTGGATAATATGGAGGTACAGAGAGGTTAAGTGACTTGTCCAAGGTCACACAGCCAGTAGGCAGCAGAGCCTGGGACTTCACCCCAGTGTCTGCCCCCAGCCTGTGTCCAGCGCATTCCCCGCCTCTTTTCTCTGCTTTCCCCTACTTCTCCTCCTCCTCCTCCTCCCTCATCTTTGCCTCTGTCTCCGTCTGTGTCTTCTCTTGACGCCTGTTGCCGCTCACTTGGGCCTTTGAGTGGAAGCTCCCCTGTTCCCTTTCTGGCAGTTGCGGAAACCTGTTCTGCTCCCCCAGACAGAGAGAGGCCGCCGCGAACCCGAACTGTTCGCTTGGAGTAATCAGTTATTCTCCGTTTGTGTAGCCATGTGAGGATAATAAGCAGCCACCATCTGGGCGGCTCCAGGAGGCTGGCAGCGGGGGCAGGCGCAGGCGCAGCCACGTGAGCGATGCTGCACCCACGGAGGAAGTTTCTGCTCATGAGTCTGTGCTTTTTAGGAAGTTTCTGACATGGAAATCTCACTCCTGGGCTGTGTGTCAGGACGCCCCGCTCTGCCACTGACCACCAGGGTGCCCGCCCTTGGGACTCACCCGTCCCTCTCTGGCCTCCGTTTGCTGATCTCTGCAGTGGGCAGATGCCACCCTCGAGGCCACTTGAGCACAGATGGTTGGGGGAGGGGGGCGCTAGCAGCTACTGAGTACCCCGCCCCAAGTGCCTGGCCCACACTAAGCTCTTTCAAGGAGGCCCTCAGTGCAGCCCTATGGACGAGGAGGCTGAGGCTGCAAGGTTTCCATCCCTGAAGGCTGAGGCAGAGCAGGGTTCTGGGGAGCTTGCTCGGGGAGAATAGTGCAAAGCCATAGTCCAGGAGCCCCATGCCTCTTCCAGGCTGCAGAAGCTGCTGCCGGGCATGGGGCAGTGAGGGGCTGGAACAGACCCCGTCATGACCTCCTGTTGTCTCCCCCACACCAGGCTTCCTGGACTGGGTCCCCAAGAAGATGCAGCGGGTGGGCTGCGTGGAGCTGCTGAACACGGTACAGAGGCGCGTCCAGCCGCGGCTACACGTCTTTGGCCACATCCACGAAGGTCAGTACGTGGTGGAGATGGGGACCTCACGGGCTAGGGGCTCCTAATGGACCCTCCAGCGGGGCCTCCCCTCCGTTCAGCCAGAAGGGAAGTAAATAGCCCATTCCTGCTGTTCGCTTTGTAACTGCTAACTGCCATATACACCCTGGCTGTCAATGAGCTATTGCTAAATGTTTAATAATAGGAAGATGATCACAAAATCCTGCATGACTTAGGGGGTAAATTTTGCTTCCGGGGAGCCCTGCAACTCTGCTGTGCCTCCAGCCTGGGAAGTCGTCGAGAGGGGGGCAGGGGTTTTCAGAGGAGGGGGTGTTGGGGCCACGACATGGAGGATGAATTATATTTGGTGAGCACACTATGAATCCCTTAAAACTGGTGGCTCTGTCTTGTTGCCTCTGTCCCCGGGCCTGGCATACAATAGGTGCTTAATAAGTGTGGAGGGACTACGTGTGATGGTGAGGGTGATGTCAGCTCCAGGTCTGTCATCCACACGGCCACGCCCTGGCCTGTTGCTGTGTGCAGGTGTTCCCTAGTAGACCTCAGCCATCCTCACCTGAGCCTCATTTCACCAGTTTGGCACAGATGCCTCTTTTGGCTCCTTTTGGATATTTATCCCACCTGCCTGAGGCCTCGCTGTCACATCCCTGCCAGGAAGCATATTGGCTGCTGTGGGATGTCTGGACTCATGTGGTTTCCCCCAGAGGCATCTCCCGGCCTCCTGAACCTCTGTCTGGTTGGACCTCAGGCGTCCACATTGTCTAGTCCACATCAGATCGTTTTTCAGTTCAAAAGCAAGCAAGCCTCAAACCATTCATTCCCTGAGGGCCTCTGCAGCTCGTTTTCAAGGGGCAGGAGTGAGCAGACCTCGCCTGGCCTGGGAGTAGCTCCTGGAGGAGCCCTGGGCACAGACGAGTCATCAAAGCCAGATGTGAGAGGTCCTGGGAGAGATGGGCAGCTCACGTGCTGTGGGATAATAATAATGGCTGTCATTTTCTGCGGCCCTCCTATGGGCATGTAGCTCCATCAGATCCAAATTTGCCTGTGACCCAAACCACACCCCCACACAATTGGACAGGCACAGTTGGACTCCAAAGAATAGGTCCTCACCTACCCCTCACCACTCCCTTCCTCCCCCAGCACCACACAGGGAAGGGGAAATGTTCCTTCTATCTTGGAGATGACCTGAGCTGAAGGATGAGGGGGATTCTAACAAATAAAGATGGTAGAAAGAGGGTATGGTGGAGGCAGAGAAAGTACATGACAATGATGATAATGATAGAGATGATGGTGAGAGGATGGTAGTGATAGTAGCAATGATGATGATGGTGGTGGCAATAATGACAGATGATGACCATGATCACAGTGGTGTTGGTAGTGATAATGGTGATAGTAATCATGTCAATGATGATGATGATACTGATGATGATGGTGATAGTGGTGACAATGGTGATGATAATGATAAATACAGTGGTGGTGATGATGATGACAATGGTGATGATGATGGTGATTGTGGTGATGATGATGGTGCTTATACAATAATGAGGGTGATAATAATGACAGTGGTGTTGGTGGTGATGATCATGATGGCATCAATGATGACATCATCAATACTGATGATGATGATAATGATGATAGTGGTATGGTGGCGATAATGGCGATGAAATGATAAGGGTAGTGATGATCATGGTGGCATTGGTGATGACAACATTCTTGGTGATGGTGGTAGTGATGATGATGTTGATGGTGATAGTGACGATGATGGCATTGGTGATGATGATGGTGATGGTGGTGGTATGTTGGTGATGTTGATGGCACTAGGGATGGTGGTGATGATGGTGGCAGTGATAATGGTGATGTCAATAATGATAAGAACAGTGATGATGATAGCATTGGTGATAATGATGGTGATGGTGGTGGTGATAATGATGATGATAATGATAGGAGCGGTGGTGATGATGTTGATTGTGATAGTGATGATGATGGCATTGGTTATGATGATGTTGATGGTGGTGGTGATGGGTATGATGGCGGTGGTGATTTTAGTGATGATGGCATTAGTGAAGATGATGATGGTGGTGGTGATGATAAGGGTGGTTATGATGATGTTGATGGTGATATGATGATGGCATTTTTGATGATGTTGGTGATGGCGGTGGTGGTGGTGATAATGGTGATGATAAGGATAGTGCTGATGATGTTCATGGTGATAGTGATGATGATGGCACTAGTGATGATGATGATGGTGACGGTAATGGTAGTGGTGGTAATGGTGAAGATGATGATAAGGGCATTGGTGATGATGTTGATCATGATAGTGATGATGATGGCCTTAGTGATGATGATTATGGTGGTGGTGGTGAAAATAGTGATGATCACGATAAGCGTGGTGGTGATGATGATGTTGATGGTGATGATGGTGATGCAGTGGTGGTGGTGATGGTGATGAGGATGGTGGTGAAGGTGATGTCGATGATGATGACTCACTGTGTGCTTCTCATGTGCCAGGCACTGGGCCGAGCACAGTACATAGATAATTTTCTCATATAATCCTCACAGCAAGCTTGGAAGTGGCATGTATCATTATCATCTCCATTTTACAGATGAAGGGATTGACCTTGAGAGTTTACTAGCTTGCCCCAAAGACATTCAGCCCATGGGGGCTGAGTGTCCTATGACTGCCACATCCACCTGACCATCCTCACTGCTCTGGCTGCTGACCTGATGGGCATGTGCTTACTTTCCAGGGTATGGTGTCATGGCAGATGGGACGACCACCTATGTGAATGCGTCCGTATGCACTGTGAACTACCAGCCCGTGAACCCGCCCATAGTCATCGACCTCCCCACACCCCGGAACTCCTGACTGATCCCCACTGCCCCAGTCCTGCCCATTTGTGCCAGCTCCATAGGCCTGGTCCGGCCACCGTTCCTTCTATACTGAGTTGCCTGGACGACCCACTTGGCTGCGGGGACTGGCCTAGCAGGCGGGTCAGGGCCTTGAAACAACTCTTCAGCCTTCTGTCACCTGGAGTTGGGACCCTGCGCATCCCCATCAGGGGTTCTGTGCTCATTTACTTTTTCTGCGTGTACATCCTGCGTGTACCTCGTTAAAGGACCTACTAAGCTCATGGCCCTGTCATGTTTGGGAAATGACTGAATCTTCATTCTTCTCCCTTGGACGCCCTCCTGGTTTGGGAAGCTGCTGCTCTTCAATGGGTTTTGGAAGTTATACAAAATCTCCCTTTAACCATGGGTCTGTGTGGTGGCATGCCCCTGTGTTAGGGGTGGGTGGGAGGATTCGTGGGCTACACACAGACAGTCCTTGCTCTCCTCCCAAGTGAGGGAGGAGACAGGCCCAAGAAGGAGGCCCTCCGAAGGAGCATTTAGGGACATCTCAGGAATTCAGACCACACCTGGCCAGGCCCACAGCAGTTTGCCTGGCATTATTCCCGTCTTCTTCTTCCTGTAGGCATTTTTGTTGACGTGAACAATGGCCTGAGTGTTCTAGGCATTCACTCGGCACCTAGATGATGGGGGCTGCTTCTGCAGAATGAGCCGCTGGCGTGCGTGCCCAGGACCAGCTAGAGGGTTCCCAGTCATGGGGGGATGACCCTTGGTCCCACGGGGAACACGCTGCTCTGCAGAACTCGGTAGCCTGGATGGAGGGTCTGCAGGCTTAGGCTGCAGCAGGCCTACCATGGGTGTGAACCCATGTCCAGGCACGCACTGACACACATGTACGCACGTACCCCTCTTAACTGAACCAAGCGGGTCCTGTGTTTCTCTTTGCTGCCCCGCAGTGAGGTTTTGTTCCTTGGTGTGGCTTCCCTTGCACCGTTAGGATTCTGTCTGGCATGCCTGCAGCTGAGGAAGCTAAAAGGGCTCAAAATCCTCATCCCAGGACCAGCCAGCCCCGTGAACGGGAGGGTGGCACAGGGACAGAGCAGGCCTCAGGCTTCAGCAGCCCCACTTTGGACAGCTTCTTTTTCTTCTTTGAATTAGGACTGGAGGGAGTGGGGGCAGGATGGTGGTGGGAACTGGTAGGGCTTAGATGAGGGGCAGGCAGTTAGGCAGAAATGGCAAGTTCAGGGTCAGATTCTGTCTTTATTTAATATTTTGTTCATCATGGACTTTTTTTGCATTGATTTTTATTTTTAACATTGCGTTAAAGTAGTATTATTTGTCCTGATTGGTGATTTTTTTTGCACCCCCTTTACGTTGTTCCTCTGAGAGGAGGGTGCCACTCCCTCACCCAGGTCCCAGCCCTGGAAACCAGCCTACCGTGAGCCCCTTTGCAGATATAGTCTCATTTCATCCTCAGATGGTCCTTCAAGGTAGGTACTTTATTCCCCATTTTAAACATGAGACAATTGAGGCCAGAGGGGTGTGGCAACTTGCCTGGGGGCTCACAGCACAAAAGGAGCAGAGGCAGGATCTGACCCTTGTTCTCTGACCTCACTGCCCTCACTTTGCCATGACCTGAAGTTATGTCCCTACAAAGCAATGCATGGTCCAAGGCTCTTTTGATTGTAATTTTGTTTTTAAGGGTCCTGTTCTAAACTGGTCTGAGCTCTGAGGAGTCCTGAACCCTGGGTGCAGCATCCTAGCATGCTGGGAGTCCTTTTCTGCCCACGCTGAGCTGGGCTTCTCGAGGGCTGGGGCTGCTGTCCCTGGAAGCCTGGCAGCAGCACTGTGTCTGATTGGCTGAAGCTGAGCGCCGTGGGGTGTAGGGCTCCAGGAATCCCATTTGGCTGAAGGGGTTCCTGTAGCCGGGGATGTTTACGAGGTCTCTCTGATGCCCCAGGCGCGGGACATGTGTGCGGTGGAGAAAAGCAAGCCCTTTCAGTGCCAGCTCCACTCAATTTCTGTGTGGACCAAGAACTATAAACTTAAAAAATTTTTTTTCCTAAGGTATCTTCAGAATATGGTGTATTTTTATGTGGAAAAGAAAAGTTATGAAGGCAGCTGTTACTTTAAGAGAAAATTCATTAAAAGTCCTCGAGATATGAAGATGACGGCGTGCTTCTCAATCATTTTGGCATAACTTGATTGTGGCTGTAATTTTTTTTTTTTTTTTTTTTTTGTCAAGCATGTCAGACAATAAAGTCTTTGTAAAAAGAGAAGTCCGCGCAGCGTCTCTTCCTTCCATATCTCTGGGTGTTGCCTGGGACACGTGGGGGCAGCGTGGTGTTCTCTTGCAGAATGCTGAGGCCTGGACAGAACTTGGAGTCCGAAGACCTCCTGTGTGGCAGTGGTCGGTGTCCCTCTGCTTGCTTTAGCCTCCCCTGGGGCGGGGGGATCCCAGATGTGGTGGTGTGGGCAGTTCTGGGTCCTCTTGTGTTCAAATACTTGGCTGCCTGGTCTCCCAAAATAGAACGCCTCCAGAGGCCTTAGTGCTGGACTCTTCTGGAAGTGGCGTGTTCAGCCCAGCCCCTGTGAAACACAGGGTCCAGACATTGCCCCGGAGAAACACTCTTAGGTACAATGAGCCTAGTCTCAAAGTCCCCAAGCTGCAAAAATTCTGCCATTTTTATCCATCTGTCCATCCATCCCTCTATATATCATCTACCCCTCCTTCCACCATCCCCCATCCATCCATTCCCCATCCCTCCATCTATCCATCCCCCATCTATCCATCCATCCATCCATCCCCCATCCCTCCATCCCTCATCTGTCCATCTATCCATTCCTCCATCTAGCCATCTCCCATCCATCTATCCATCCATCCCCCATCCATCAATCCATCCATCCCCATCTATCCATCCATCCCCCATCCATCAATCCATCCATCCCCCATCTATCCATCCATCCATCCATCCCCATCTATCCATCCATCCCCCATCCATCTATCCATCCCTCCCTCCATCCATCCATCCCTCCATCCATCCATCCCTCCCTCCATCCATCCCCCATCTATCCATTTGTCCATCCATCCCCCATCCATCCATCCCTCCCTCCATCCATCCCCCATCCATCTATCCCTCCCTCCATCCATCCCTCATCCATCCATCCCTCCTTCCATCCATCCATCATCCACCCATCCCTCCCTCCATCCATCCATCATCCATCCATTCATCCATCCATCCATCCATCCCCCATCCATCCCTCCCTCCCTCCATCCATCCCTCCATCCCTCCATCTATCCATCTCCCATCCATCCATCCATCCCGTTTATCATCCATCCCTCCATCCCTCCATCTATCCATCCCCATCCATCCATCCCGTTTATCATCCATCCCTTCATCCCTCCATCTATCCATCCCCCATCTATCATCCATCCATCCATCCCCCATCCATCCCTCCCCCATCCATCCATCCCCCATCTATCCATCCATCCATCCCCCATCTATCATCCATCCCTCCATCCCTCCATTTATCCATCCCCCATCCATCCATCCCCCATCTATCCATCCATCCATCCCCATCTATCATCCATCCATCCATCCCTCATCCCTCCATCCATCCATCTGCCATCTAACCATCCATCCCCCATCTGTCCATCCATCCATCCCTCCTTCTATCCATCCCCCATTCATCCATCCATCCTCCATCCATCCATCCCCCATCCATCCCTCCCTCCATCCATCCCTCCCTCCCTCCATCCATTCATCCCACATCTATCCATCCATCCATCCCCCATCCATCCATCTCTCCCTGCATCTGTCATCCATCCATCCTTCCCTCCATCCATTCATCATCCATCATCCATCCATCCATCCCCCCATCCATCCATTACCCATCCATCCACCCACCCACCCATCCCCCATCCATCCATCCATCCCTCCATCCCTCCATCTATCCATCCCCTATCCATCCATTCATCCCTCCATCCCTCCATCTATCCATCCCCCATCCATCCATCCCCCATCTATCCATCCATCCCCCATCTATCATCCATCCATCCCCCATCTGTCCATCTATCCATCCCTCCATCTATCCATCCCCCCATCCACCCATCTATCCATCCATCCATCCATCCCCCATCCATCCATCCCCCATCTATCATCCATCCATCGCCCATCTGTCCATCCATCCATCCCTCCATCTATCCATCCCCCATCCACCCATCTATCCATCCATCCATCCCCCATCCATCCATCCCCCATCTAGCCATCCATCCCCCATTCATCTATCCATCCCTCCCTCCATCCATCCCTCCCTCCATCCATCCATCCCTCATCTATCATGTATCCATCCATCCCCCATCCACCCATTTATCCATCCCTCATTCATCCTTCCATCCCTCCATTCAACCCCCATCCATTCATCCATCCCTCATCCATCCATCCCTCCATTCATCCTCCCATCCATCCATCCCTCCATTCACCCCCATTCATCCATCCATCCCCCATCCATCCATCCTTCCATCCATTCCCCATCTATCCTTCCATTCATCCATCCCTCCCTTCATTCATCCCTCCATCCCTCCATTCATCCTTCCATTTACCCCTATCCATCCCTCCATCCCTCCATTCATCCACCATCCATCCCTTCCTCCTTCCTTTCCTCCCTCTTTCCATCCATCCATCCTTCATCCTTCCCTCCCTCTCATCCATCCATCCAATCTACAAACACCACTGAGTACCTCCCATGGGTCTTGCTTGGGCTAGGGAAGTGGTGGCAGCAGCGATAGATTTAGGAGGTAGGATGGCAGTGAGGAATGGATGTGGGGCATGGGGGAGGGACAGCCAAGGATGGCAGGGGAAGTCGAGTGCTGTCATGGAGAAGGGGCATAGGAGCAGGAAGAACAGGGCTGAGGAGGGACGTGGCATTCTGTTTGGGACTCATGAGCGGGGGGAATCTTTGGGCTACACGGGGGAGGTGTTCGGTGGATAAACAGGCCTGCAGGAGAAACAGTGTCTCTGGAGCCAGATGTGGATCATAAACAAAGATGTGGGGCAGGGGAGACCTCCAAGGGAGTTGTGCAGGGCAGGGGACAGCCTGGGGAAGACCACAATGTGTCACCTCTTCATGGTGTTCTTCTGCTCTCAGACTGACCTCACCTGTCACCTGCCCCTCCAGAGTCCCTTCCACCAGGGTCTCACAGGGGTGTACAACAGCCATCCCAGGCCCTGGCTCCCCATCCACAGGCCACAAGGAACCACTCAGTTTGAGGGACCCCGGCTGCTGCTCTTGGCCAGCATGCATCCCAGCAGGGCTCCTGAGGAGGGGCAGGGTGACTCACGCCCGTAATCCCAACACTTTGGGAAGCTGAGTCAGGAGGGTTGCTTGAGCTCAGGGGTTTGATACCACCCTGGGCAACATAGCGAAATCCTGCCTCTACAAAAAAATAAATGAAATTAGCAGGGCATGGTGTCATGTGCCTGTAGTCCTAGGTACTTGAGAGGCTGAGGTGGGAGGATTGCTTGAGCCTGGGAGGTTGAGGCTGCAGTGAGCTGGGGTCATGCCAGTGCACTCCAGCCTGGGTAACAGAGGGAGACCCCGTCTCAAACAAACAAACAAACAAACAAACAAACAAAACGTTTTTTATTTTGAAATACTTCTAGTTTTGAGGAAGAGTTGTAAGGCTAATAGAGGGAGTTCCTCCACACCCTTCAGCCAGTTTCCCCTGTATATTCATGATACATTTATCCAAACTAAGAAATCAACACCAGTACAACACTGTTAAATACAGCCTTTATTTGGATGTCAACAATTTTGACTAGTGTCCTTTTTCTGTTCCAGAATCCAATCCATGATCCCAAGCTGCATTTAGTCATCATGGCTCCCAACTGTCTTCCAGTCTAAGACAGTTTCTCCATATTTCCTTGCTTTTTCTGACCTTGGAAGTTTTGAGGAGTGCTGGATGAGTATTTTGCAGACTGTCCTTCAGTTTGTGTTTGTCTGCCATTTTCTCATAATTAGTCTGGGGTTATGCATTTTCGAGAAAAATCCCATGGAGAGGAAGGTGCCGTCTCAAGCCATCCATCTAGGGTGACGCGAGAGGAGCAGGATGCATTCCTGGTGATATGCGTCTTGATCCCTTGGTTAAAGTGATGTCTGTGGGTTTCTCCACTGTAAAGATATTATTCTTCTTTAGCCACATTCAGTTTGTTAGGAGCGAGCCACTAGGTCCAGCTCCACTCAAGGAGAGAGGAGTTAAGCCTCTCCTCCTGGAGGGAGGAACATCAAAGGATTTGTGGGCATCTGTTAGAACCAGCATGGTAATTAATCAATATTTCGGGGAGATGTTGTCAGGCCACGCCAATATCCCATTTCTCCTTCAAGTTTTGCCCACTCATTTTAGCAGCTGCCAGTCGATCTTGGCTTCAGCAATTGCCACTGTGGTACTCACGTGGTGACTTTCTGTTTCCTCATTCCTTCTGCATTTATCCTTTGGAATTCTTCTGTAAGGAAGATCTGCCCTCTTTCTGCTGTTTATGCACTAATCTCACTCTGAACTCATTATTTTATTCTTTAGGTTAGAAACTGATTCTATCATTATCTGTTTTGTTGCTTCAATGGTTGTAGCTTTGTCCGCTGGAAGCTCTGGCAAGTTGGTTCCTGATTCCTTTTGCTTATTAATTTTACTTCCTTACTTTCAGGCACTAGAAGATGTTCTAGGCTCCTCTTATATTTACCTTGCCCTGGCCTTGGAATCAGTCATTTGTCCAGAGAGTCCTAGCTCCTTTTACTTAGAAATTAAGATCTAGGGCCAGGTGTGGTGGCTCACGCCTGTAATCACAGCACTTTGGGAGGCCAAGTGGGCAGATCACTTGAGGTCAGGAGTTCAAGACCAGCCTGGCCAACATGTTGAAACCCCGTCTCTACTAAAAATACAAAAAAATTAGCCAGGTGTGGTGGCGCACGCCTGTAGTCCCAGCTACTCGAGAGGCTGAGTCAGGAGAGAATTGCTTGAACCTGGGAGGCAGAAGTTGCAGTGAGCCAAGATTGTGTCACTGCACTCCAGGTTGTGTGACAGAGTGAGACTCCAGCTCACAAAAAAAAAAAAAAAAAAAAAAAAAAAGATCTGGGTGGTAGGTGTGCTGGTTGCAACTTGTGGCATCACTGCTTC